ATTAATACGGTATGATTTTTTTTTATTTTTCATTATTATCATCATTATTTCCGAAATTTTTTTCCAAATTTTTTTTCTATTTTTTGTTGGAAAGTATAATTATTATGAAGCTGTAAAAGTTTTCAAAAAGTTCCATCTGATCTACCTGTTACGATTTACCAAATGTCCTACAACTAATGTATATTTGACATAGGTAGGTACATGTTATAACTAATAAACAGTAGTAGGCTTTCGTACCACTGTATCAGGTAGTAGGTTCATTGTATTTAATTACATAGAAAAAAGCTTATTAACTAGCATTATTTTTACCATAATATCTCTGTTTTATATTTGTTGTACATTTTTGCCTATTAATATACCCATCGATTTTAAATATTCGTGTATAATAAACTATAAACAGACTGAACAGTAACTATCTGTCTAAGACATTTGAAACATTAGATTAAAGGTGCATAATATAATATAAACTGTGCGTATATGCTGCTGTGTACTATTTAAATTTAAGTTTTCTTATTTATCAAAAACAATCACAAAATTATTGAGTTATTCTTGTTCGTTCACTTGAGTTTCGATTGTGTGTAGTTGGTGTGAATAGGCCTATTATAGTTATCATCAAACTTTTAGGTTACATTTTAAGAACATTAGTTGTACATTTTATTTGATATTTTAATTTTCGAGGTATATATGAACATTTTTAATTTGTGATGTTATATATCATATTATCTGCTTGAAAATAAAATATCGAAAAAATCACCGACTTTAATCATAGTTGCATAGATAATGTTCTTGGGCTAAAAATTTGACGAAAGGTATCTAAATTTGTTTTAATATCAAAACTATGACTACACCACACTATTAAAACTAGGTAGTTAACGGAAATTTGCTACCTATGTCGTACCTACGTTTGTAAGACGGAGACATCAAACAAATGCGTAATTTAGTCCTCTTACAAGCATTACCTTGATATCCGATTAAAGTATAAAGCTGTAAATACATACCTAAGAAATGTTTCGATTACCCATCGATCGTGGCACTTGACGTACAAAGAACGTATTCCATTTTAATATATTGTGCCTACATTGATGTTTGATAAAAATGATTTTATTTATTTTTATTTATTATAATCATAAAATGTTTCAGCACGCATGGTGCTATTACAAGTAATTATTTTTTAACAATATAGATTCAATTATACTAGATACATGATTTTTTTACATTGATATATATAGTTGAGTAAATTATAATTATATTTATATATAGTATGAGTGTAAGTGTATTCTTCTATGGGTCTTCTGATGATGATTCTTCACTATCCGTTAGGAGAATGTCTTGAGGGAGTCCAGGTCGTAGACGTCTGTTAAGTGTTTTTTCCTTGGTTGTAGTGGGTTGTAGTGACGGGTTTCGTTCGGATTTTTTAAATTGTTGTGAAAGTTTTGAAATTGCGTCTTTATCCATTTGTTAATGAAGAGTATACCCATATATCGGTATATCATTGTGATTTAATTAATTAAATTAATATTTAAAAATAAAGTGTTCTTATTGAATCTGCTGCCATAAAACGTAAATAGCTTTTATATCATTACGCACATTTTAAGCCACTTAAAATATAACCTTACTATTATTTTTTATAGGTGAAATATTACTAACATGGTCATTAGTTCATTACATATATTATAATACCTACAAGTAATAGGTTGTAACTTTTGGGCCGTATAGGCATACAATATGTATGTGCTTTTAAATCGATGTATGTTGAAACAATTTAATTCTATAGATAATATATTTTGAGTTTCACCGTGTAAATTAACTGAATATTTTCTTCATTTACTCACGATTACATTAAAACTCAATTTCGCAATTCTTATCTAAGCAAGAAAGTATGTTGTCGATTGATTTTTTGATGAAAATATTTTWATTTTTCTAGCTTTTAAAATAATAAAAGAAAAATATCTATGTAAGTGTAAATAATTTTCGATAAAATTAAAAATAACAAATGTATGAATAATATTAAGTAGGGAACGGCGGAGGAACATTTTAACAGTCTCAAAATAATAGAATATAACATCTAGTATCTAGATAATTATCACTTATGAATTATAAATTTGTGGCATGATATTTAAATGTTTAGGACTTGAATTAATAATCAATTACAATAAATCGTTTTTAATATTATCGTTATTATTACAGGCTATTGCCAATGGTACAAGATAACTTCCAATTTAAAATATTGTGCTTTGTAGTACGAGGACTGGAAGCAATCGGTGCCAGTGCATTTTCCACGTCAAGTTTTGTTTATGTCATTCAATTATTTCCAGAAAACGTCAGTAGCGTTTTAGTAAGTTTTCAGTTTACATAATATAGGTACCTATACTATACTTGTTAAATCTTTTTGTTTCATCGAAATTTTTGTGTATCAGTCTTTTAAACACATTTCTTTTTTCATTTTTAAGGGTATACTAGAAACATTTGTGGGTTTAGGTATGAGTGTTGGACCTGCAATTGGAGGTTTGCTATCTTCGGTAAGTAATATAGATATTAAAATTTAAATATATGCATAATATTATTTTAAGCGATTTCTCAGCCATCGTTTAATTTTAATTTTTCCTTGCAGGTCGGTGGTTATGCAATGCCGTTTTTCGTCGTGGGCCTCTTGATGGTGGCTACGGTGCCTCTGCACATTTACCTTATGCCTCCAATTAGAGGTAAACATTTTGATTTTTGTTTTCGTATATAATACATTAAGATTTAATAATTAATATCGAAATATTATACACGTTTATGACGTGTTAAATCATAAAAATTTAGATGATGTAAAAGCATCGCAAGCTGTTGGCAGCCGTTCCAAAGGTATAGTCAAATTACTCATAATTCCGTCAGCTTTTGTTGTCGGCGCCGTCATTACGGTCACATCCAACTTTTGGGCGTCACTCGATCCAACGCTCGAACCACACTTGAGAGAGGTATATTATTAGTATAAATACAATCATTCCGTACATGTCTACCTATGTGTTTCGGATGTCTTACGTTACGTCAATATAGCAACGACATTTTAAATCCGTACTTTTGTCAACTTAAAACCCATTTATTTTCTGCTTTTGTTTGCTGAGTCAAACGAACGAACATTACCTCAGGAATAGAGCTTTGTCACAATGAGGGTGATAGCGTAGGTTTATATTTATAAATAGCTACGAACTTTCACTATTGGTTTATACGTGCTGAAATGAATTTCCAGGGTTAGTGTACGCTTATCTATAAGAGTAATATTACAGATGACAAATACCAGGTGATTTTTATCATGAAACATTCATAATTTCAAAAATTATTAACGTTTTCGAAAATATTTTTTTCACATAATTTAAATTTGTTACAAAACAACTTTAAAAAAGTTATATTTTTAAATGTTTTTTATTCATGTAATTTTATACTTTTTATTTTTTGAATGAGAACAGTTTTAATTTAATCTTCGAAAGCGGAATATTTTTATGAGTTGGTGCCTATATCAATACATAAAGATCAAATTTTGAAAATGTAGGTCGAGAGTTATAATTTATAAGTATTTAAAGTTTATATGAGTGGAATAGTTGGCCAACATATTGCGAGTAACCACATAACACTCCACTCCTCTCATCTAAACTTTAAAATTTAAATACTTATAATAATCCATCATATACTACTTTTCCTAAATTTGATTTGTTTATGTCGAAATACTAAGAAAAATATTCCGCTTTCGAAGAATAAATTAAAACGGTATGTCATTATTTAAAAATTAAAAACTTAGAAAACTATAAGGATAAAATATATATTTTTTAAATCATTGTAACGACTTGAGAAATCAAGTGAAAAAATATTTACAAAAACATACTTTGTAAAATATCAAGTGTTTTATGATAAAAAAAAACAATAAAAATGATTCTGTGTTTACTTGGCAAAGGTAGAAATAATTATATTAATAACTCATAACCTAACCATTTTTAATTACAATTATCTTTAGTACAAATATTTTAATATTTAAAAAACTACTCGTTTGGATTTTGAATTAAAATGAACTATTATTTAAAATTATTAGAATTAAAATTGAACTTGCTTAAAATAATTGTACACTAAATAATTTACAGTAAAAAGGTGGGCTCTCATTTGAAAAGCAGATGAAATTTGTATCGCAATTGGACATTCCTTAAGTAGGTAAMAATTTTGAAAAATATATCTGATTATATTTAAAAACTCCAAAAATCAGAATTTGAAAACATTAATTATAAAAAAAAATGGTTGGGGAGGGGGAGATGAGCAGACTTTATGGAATCACTCTGTATCATATTACGAGTTACAACCTTATAGTATATGGCGTATATGGCGTATATTATTTTATATTATTTAAATTATTATACAGTGTTTCGACGTTTTCGTTTTCGTTTTCAACGTCAATATTTAAAAAAAAATTTTCGAAGAATT